GAGAGATCGTCTAATCCATGCTATGTGAGGAACATGGTAGGAAGATCACTACCCAAGCATGGCCTCAACCAAAACATTTTTTCCCTTTAGGAAAAAAAAAAAAACTGAAGCAAAAAGTGGGTGGGCAGCATCTGTACATTCTATGGTCACTTAGTGTCATTGCTGTGGGTTTGTAAAACAGACATGATGGTGGTAGAAATATAGCACCACATATGACAGTCAGGAAACAAAGAGAGTGACACAAGAAGGGCCCAAGGGCCAGGCGCTGGTGGCTCACGCCTGTAATCCTAGCTACTCAGGAGGCTGAGATCTGAGGATCACGGTTCAAAGCCAGCCGGGGCAGGAGAGACCGTGAGACTCCTATCTCCAATAAACCACCAGAAAACCGGAAGTGGCCCTGTAGCTCAAGTGGTAGAGCTGAGGGACAGCGCCCAAGCCCAGAGTTCAGGCCCTACGACCGGACCTCCCCCCCCCAAAAAAAAAACAAGAAAAATGCAGAGAGGGATACATTGTGAAAATGAAAAGGTAATGTTCAGAAAAAAAGATGTAAGTTCTATTCAATGCCAAGGTTATTAATCTGGTTAATTGGACAGTAAAAAATTGCTCTCTGAAATTATCTTCTGGGACAAACTGAGATGGATAGCTATATAAAGAAGTCAAAATTACAGGCACCAGTGGCTCAAGCCTGTAATCCTAGCTACTAATAAGGCTGAGATATGAGGATCATAGTTCAAAGCCAGCCTGGGCAGGAAAGTCTATGAGGCTCTTATCTCCAATAAACCACCAGAAAACCGGAAGTGGCCCTGTGGCTCAAGTGGTACAGTGCTGGCCTTGAGCTGAAGAGCTGAGGGACAGCGCCCAGGCACAGAGTTCAAGCCCCATGACCAACCCCCCCCCAAAAAAGTCAAAATTAAAGTAATTATAAATGCTTGAAATATGCTTGATTTTGTATTTATTTACTTAATTTTTGATAACAGAGTTTGAACTCAAGGTGTTATGCTTGCATAGCTTGCTTGATTCTCTACCACTTCATCCATGTCTCTAGCACAACTTTTTACTGGTTGTTTTGGAGATAGAATCTCATGAACTTCTCTACTTAGGCTGGCTTTGAACTGCAGTCCCCTAGATCTCAGTCTCTTAAGTAGCTAGGGTTATTGGCATAAGACAGGAACACATATTGAATTATCTTTTTTAAAGATTGCTGGTCTTGGGGCTTGAACTTGACTGGGTGTTGTCACTAAGCTTTGTGCTCAAGGCTAGTATAGTGCTCTACCACTTGAGCCACAGCTCAACTTCCAGATTTTTTATGCTTAATTGGGGATAAAAATCTCATGGACTTTCTTGGTCAGACTGGCTTTGAACCATGATGGTTATATCTCAGCCTCCTGAGTAGCTAGGATTACAGGTATGAGCCACCAGCACCTGGCTGAATTATGTTTTTAAGTTTGCAACATTTGTATTTGGTTCATCATAAATGGGTTGACTTTCTCCCTCAGAGACATGGGAAGAACGCAAGTGCAACTTGCAACAGTTGAGAACATCCTCACGATGACTCTTGAGTTGGAAAAACTGTAAGCTAACTTGTTTCTTTACATCACATATATTTCTTTCTATTTATATCACCTATTTTAAGCTTATTAATTTCATTAATAAATTAACTTCATTAATTTATGCTTATTAGTTTATTAATATACTTTGAGGCACAATTTTCATGAGTAACTTCACACTTTTTAAGGGTATAGTTTAATGAGTTTGTTTAGCCACGTAACCACTACCATGTACCTATCACCCTCAAAAGGCCACTCAGGCCCTTTGAAGTTAGTTCATTTCCACCACCACTGGCCCCTGGAAACCCTCAATCTTATTTCTGTCCCTGCATTTCTCCCCTTTTTAGAACATCCTATAAATGAAATCATAGAATGTGTGGAGGTTTGGCTTCCGTCACATCAGAAAACCCTTATCATGTCCCACTGGCAATAAATGTGATTGCAATTGCTCCACATCTTCCCCTGATCCTTCTAGTTTTACTTTCTAAAGTTTTTAGCCTTCTTATAGTAGGTATGTAGTGGTGTGTTAGTGTGTTCTTAATTTTCATTTTGTTGCTCATGATATTGAATGTCTATGTGTAAATATCATCCTTACTGACATTTCTATTCAAATTTGTTCTCATATTTTATTTAGGCATTTATTCTTGCTGAATTGTGTGTATGTGTGTGTGTGTGTGTGTGTGTGTGTGTATACGGGAGAGGGAAGAGCTTGAAATCAGGGCTTGGTTGCTGTCCCTGAGCTTTTTTGCTCAAAGCTAGTGCTCTATCACTTTGAACTACAGCTCCCCTTTCAGCTTTTTGATTAATTGGAGATGAGTCTCTCAGACTTTCCTGTTTTAGCTGGCTTTGAACTGCATTCCTCAGATCTCAGTCTCCTGATTAGCTAGAATTACAGGCGTGAGCCACCAGCACCTGTCTTATTGAATATTAAGAGTGCTTTATACCTATCTGGTACAAGTCTTTCTTCTCAGACATGTCATTGTACATATCTTCTCTTTGTTTATGGCTATTTATTCTATTAAGTGAGTTCTCAAGAACTTCAATTTTGGGATGGGAATGTGGCTTAGTGGTAGAGTGCTTGCCTAGCATGCATGAAGTCCTCAGTATCACATAAACTTTAGAAAAAGCCAGAAGTGGCACTGTGGCTCAAGTGATAGAGTGCTAGACTTGAGCAAAAGAAGTTCAGGGACAGTGCCCAGGCCCTGAATTCAAGCCCTGGACTGGGGCGGGGGGGCCCTCATTTTTTTTAACATATATTTTTGATGATCTCTCACTTCACATTTTTTTTTTAAGAACTCTGTGTCTAAGAATGCATTCTTGCTAGGTGTAGTAGCTTTTACCTGTACTCCCTAATACTTCAGAGCAGATAAGGAGGATTAGTTTTACCCAGCCTGGGCCAAAAGGCGGAGAGATCGTCTAATCCATGCTATGTGAGGAACATGGTAGGAAGATCACTACCCAAGCATGGCCTCAACCAAAACATTTTTTCCCTTTAGGAAAAAAAAAAAAACTGAAGCAAAAAGTGGGTGGGCAGCATCTGTACATTCTATGGTCACTTAGTGTCATTGCTGTGGGTTTGTAAAACAGACATGATGGTGGTAGAAATATAGCACCACATATGACAGTCAGGAAACAAAGAGAGTGACACAAGAAGGGCCCAAGGGCCAGGCGCTGGTGGCTCACGCCTGTAATCCTAGCTACTCAGGAGGCTGAGATCTGAGGATCACGGTTCAAAGCCAGCCGGGGCAGGAGAGACCGTGAGACTCCTATCTCCAATAAACCACCAGAAAACCGGAAGTGGCCCTGTAGCTCAAGTGGTAGAGCTGAGGGACAGCGCCCAGGCCCAGAGTTCAATTCCCACAACCGACCAAAAAAAAAAAAGAAGGTCCCAAGGAACAATGCCAGTAACCTATTTTCTTCATCTAGACCTCACTTCCTAAGAACACATTGAGCTATCAATGTGTTATCACTAAGGTTTATGCCCTTAGAATCCAATTACATCTTAATAGCTATACCAGCTGGGGACAGACCAAGCCTTCAACACATAACCTTGTGAAATCATCTCCTATCTAAATCAGAACAGGGGCTCACTTTACTTATTTTATATTTCTTTTTTTTTTTTATTTTTTGTTGGTCATGGGGCTTGAACTCTGGGCTTGGGCGCTATCCCTCAGCTCTTCAGTTCAAGGCGAGCACTGTACCACTTGAGCTACAGCGCCACTTCCGGGTTTCTAGTGGTTTATTGGAGATACGAGTCCCACGGACTTTCCTGCCCAGGCTGGCTTTGAACCGTGATCCTCAGATCTCAGCCTCCTGAGTAGCTAGGATTGCAGGCATGAGCCACTGGCGCCTGGCTTTCTTTTTTTTTTTAATTTTTTTTGGTCCGGTCATAGGGCCTAAACTCTGGGCCTGGGCGCTGTCCCTCAGCTCGTCAGCTCAAGGCTAGCACTCTACCACTTGAGCCACAGTGCCACTTCTGGCTTTTTTTTTCTGCTTATGTGGTGCTGAGGAATCGAACCCAGGGCTTCATGCATGCAAGGCAAGCGCTCTACCACTGAGCCACCTTCCCAGCCCAACCTGGCTTTTATTTTATATTTCCTCATGATCCCTCTCCTTGACTGCATGGTATCCAATGTCTTGAAACCTGATGCTTGATGATTTTTTTTTGTATTTGTTTGGTTGCTTCTGGTGAGAGCTTATATCTTTGCCAGAAGCTAATAATATTCTTTGAATCTGTTTTGCTTCCATTCTCAATAAATCAAAGATCAGGTGGTGAATCTCATGTTTTGATTACTTAGATCTGAAAATTTTCACTACTTTTTTTGGTTTTTCATTGGCAAACTTAAAAAAAATCTACATTTTTTGCAAATCACTCCATAATCTGAGTTTCTCTTTTCCACATGAGTAATTTAGCCCATAATGCTGATTTTATTACCATAAATGGTAGTATTCTTGGTAATTCGTAAATACTCTGTGAGGTAGGGATTTGATATCTGTAAACATCTATAAAGATACTGACAAGCCAGGTACATGTGGCTCATGCCTGTAATCCTAGCTACTCAGGAGGCTGAGATCTAAGGATCACGTTCAAAGCCAGCCCAGGCAGGAAAGTCCTTGAGACCCTTATCTCCAATAAACCACTAGAAAACCAGAAGTGTCACTGTGGCTCAAGTGGTAGAGCGCTCGCCTTGAGCTGAAGAGCACAGGGACAGCATCTAAGCCCAGAGTTCAAGCCCCACGACCAACTAAAAAAAAAAAAAAGATACTGACATAAACACCTTTTCATCCAATTATGTATCAGTGATAATCATCTAAACAAATTATTACTTAGTGGCCACAGAATGAAGATTTTCTAATTTTATCATTCCTATTACATTGATTAGCTTGTATTATTGTATTAAAGGTGAGCTCCTCATCTTTGAAAGTACCAAAATAAATTAATGAATTCTTTATAGTATGTTATGCCTTATTATCTTTATTTTTAAATCTTTATTGAAAAGGTGATGAGCAGGGCGTTAAAGTTACATAAGTAAGGTAATGAATACATGTTTTAAAAACACTGTTACCCAATCCCTCATTTTCTCCCTCTTACCCCTTCCTACTCCTTTCTCCTTCAAGTTGTAAGGTTCATATCCAAGATGGTGTCAAGTGAGTATCAGTGTCACATTAGTTTATCCTTTGTCCTGTCCCTTTCCCTTCCACAGATTGAATAATTTTTTTTTTTGGCTGTGGGGCCTGAACTCTGGGTCTGGGTGCTGTCCCTCAGCTCTTCAGCTCAAGGCTAGCGCTCTACCGCTTCAGCCACAGCGCCACTTCCTGCTTTTTTCTTTTTGCTTATGTGGTGCTGAGGAATCGAACCCAGGGCCTCATGAATGCAAGGCAAGTGCTCTACCACTGAGCCACCTTCCCATCTGAATAATCTTATATACAAGACACAAGGTATAGAAAAGAGAAACAAACAAAACCCTACAATAGGACATAAGAAGAACCTCTTGTTTCTGTATCTTGGAGTTCATGTTGATAAGCTTCATTACATATGGTCCTATGCACTAAGCAATTGGTTTATTGAGATCCCCTGTTAAGAATATCATAGACAGGGGCTAGGAAGGTGGCTCAGTGGTAAAGTGCTTGCCTCTCATGCATGAGTCCCTGGGTTCGATTCATCAACACCACATTATCAGAAAAAGCTCAAGTGGTAGAGTGTCAGCCTTGAGCTGAAGATCTGAAGGACAGGACAGCATCCAGGCCCAGAGTTCAAGCCCCATGACTGACAATAAATAAATAAATAAATAAAATAATATCATAGACACATTATAGATCTTACAAATGAGGGAAACTATGCAACCTACTTTTCTTTGTGTCTGGTTTACTTAATATATTTTTTCCAGGTCTTTCCATTTCCTTACCAATGGGGCAATGCCATTCTTTCTGATGGAAGCACAGAACTCCATTGTGTATTTATATAAAACATCTTGATCCTTTCATCTACCAGGGGGATTTGGGTTGGTTCCATAGCTTTGCTATAGTAAATAATGCTACAATGAACATGGTTGTGATGGTAGCTTTAGTATGGCCTTGTTTGTGGTCATTTGGGTAAATGCCCAGGAGTGAGATTGCTAGATCATAGGGGAGCTTTATGTTTAGTCTTTTTTTTTTGTCTTTTCTTTTTTGGTACTGGGGATCGAACCCAGGATGTTGCACTTGCTAGGCAAGCGCTTTGCCACTGAGCTACATCCTAGCCCTATGTTTAGTCTTTTGAGGAACCTCCATACTGCTTTCCAGAGTGATTGGGCAAGTTTGCACTCCCACCAACAGTGTATAGTAGCATTCCACTTTGGCCACCAGCCAGCATCTGTTGTTTTTAGGGTTCTTTCTTTCTTTCTTTGTTCTTTCTTTCTTTCCTTTCTTTTCTTCCTTCCTTTCCTTCTTTCCTTTCCTTCCTTCCTTCCTTCCTTCCTTCCTTCCTTCCTTCCTTCCTTTCTTTCTTTCTTTCTTTTCTTTCTTTCTTTCTTTCTATGTTGTTTTGATTTGCATTTCTTTTATGGCCAAAGATGTTGAGCATTTCTTCATGTATCTCTTGGCCATTCATATTTCTTCTTCAGATAAGTCTAAGTCTTTAACCCACTTGTTAATGGAGTGGTTGTCTCTTTGGGGGTTTGTTTTGGGGAAATTTAATTTCTTGAGCTGTAGGTATATTTTAGTTATGAGGCCCTTGTCTATTGTATGGATAACAAGAATAGTCTCCCAGTCTATGGGCTTTCTATATATCTTGCTAGCTATGTCCTTTGCCTTGCAGAAGCTCTGCAGTTTAATGCAATACCATTTGTCCAACCTTTCTTTGATTTGTTGTGTTTCTGGGTCTTTATTAAGAAACTTTCAAACTGTGCCCAGGAGCCCAGGGTATCTGCTTTTACCTTGAGGTCTGTGACCATTTGGAATTGATTCTGGTGCAGGGTAAAATATAAGGATCTAACTTTAGTTGTCTACATGTGTTTAGCCAATTCTGCCAGCACCATTTGTTTAAGATGCTTTCTTCCATCCTACTTTTTTTGGTTCCCTTGTCGAAGATTAGGTGGCCATAAGTCTGCAGGATAATTTCTGGGCTTGGGCACTGTCCCTCAGCTCTTCAGCTCAAGGCAAGTGCTCTACCACTTGAGCCACAGCACCACTTCCAGTTTTCAAGTGGTTTATTGGCGTTAAGAGTCTCATGGACTTTCAAGCCAGAGCTGGCTTTGAATCGTGATCCTCAGATCTCAGCCTCCTGAGTAGTTAGGATTACAGGTGTGAGCCACCGGCGCCAGGCTTCAAGCTATTTTTATTACCACAGCTTTTTAATAGAGTTTGAAGTTTGGTATAGGTATTCCTCCAGCACTGTTCTTCCTGCTAAGGACTGTTTGTGTTATTGTTACATATGAATTTTTGGATTGCTTCTTCTGTTTCATTAAAGACAGAAGTTAGGATATTGATGGGGGTATGGCATTGAATTTGTATATAGCCTTTGGCAATATTGCCATTATCACATGTTAATCCTCTCAATACAGGAGCCTGGAACGTTTTTTTTCTTCCTCAGATCTGCTTTAATTTCCTTTTTCAGAGTTTTGAAGTTTTCATTGTAGATGTCCTTCACTTATTTGGTTAAGATGATACCTAGGATTTTGGCTTTTTTTTTTTTTTTTGGGTCCGGTTGTGGGGCCTGAACTCTGGGCCTGAGCACTGTCCCTCAGCTCTTCAGCTCAAGGCTAGTGCCCTACCACTTGAGCCATAGCACCACTTACGGCTTTTTTCTTTTTGCTTATGTGGTGCTGAGGAATCGAACCCAGGGCCTCAGGCATGCAAGGCAAGCACTCTACCACTGAACCAACTTCTCAGCCCCAGGATTTTGGTTTTTATAGGCTATTGCAAAAGGAATTGCTTTTTTAATATCAGTCTCTCCCTTTTCATTGTTGACCTATAGAAAAGCTACTGATTTTGGAGGATTAATCTTATTTTATTTTTGTCAGTCATGGACTTGAACTCTGGGTCTGGGTGCTCAGCTCTTCAGCTCAAGGTGAACACTTTACCACTTGAGCCACAGTGCCACTTTTTTGGCTTTCTGCTTATGTGGTGCTGAGGAATTGAACCCAGGGCCTCATGCATGCAAGGCAAGCACTCCACCACTGAGCCACCTTCCTAACCCTGGGGATTAATTTTATGCCCTGCTACTCCAAAGTTTTGTATCGGCTCAGGTAACCTGGGCGTAGAGTCTATGATATTCTCTTAATATAGGATCATGTCATCTGCAAAGAGGGGGAGTTTTACTTTTTCTTTCCCTATTTGGATCTCTTTCATGTTTCCTGTTGCCTTATTGCTCTAGCTAGGAATTCTAATGCTATATTGAAGAGGAGTGGAGAAAGCAGACATCCTAGTCTCATTCCTGTTATCTTTATGTGAGTATGTGTGTGTGTGTGTGTGTGTGTGTGTAGTGCTGACATCAAATCTAAAGCTTCATATGTGCTAGACAAGCACTCTACAATTGAGCTGCACACCTAACCCCTCTTTCCTTACAAAAAAAAAAATTGTACAGGGCTGGGAAGGTGGCTCAGTGGTAGAGTGCTTGTCTTGCATACATGAGGCCCTGGGTTCGATTCCTCAGCACCATATAAGCAGAAAAAAAAATTGTACAGAAGTAAGTACTTTTTTGGGGGAAGGGGGGGTCCGGGCATGAGGCCTGAACTCTTGGCCTAGGTGCTGTCCCTCAGCTCTTCAGCTCAAGGCTAGCACTCTACCACTTGAGCCGCAGCGCCACTTCTGCTTTTTCTGCTTATGTGGTGCTAAGGAATTGAACCCAGGGCCTCGTGCATGCAAGGCAAGCGCTCTACAATTGAGCCACCTTCGCAGTCCCATAGGACTTTTTAAAGATAATGTCATCCCTTCCTTTACTGTCCGCTGGTTTCTCGCTCCTTTCCCTGCCCACAAGTTGTATAGGCTACCCACTTTTTTATGTGCTCAGAGTGCCTACATTTGACCATTGTGATATATAGTTTCCTAAACACACCATCTGCATTAAACTAAACAGATTTTTGTGCCCAAAATAAAGGATAATATTTACTACTACCAATATAAATTGAGAAAGGGACTCTTGAATTTGGAATTGTTTTCAAATTCTTCTTAGAAGTCTTCCTCCTTAAAGTGCACTCTCAGACTAGAAAGACAAGTTTTGCGTTGATAGGAGTGCTTCTGAATTAAATTACAGATCTATGTCACTCAATTCTATCCTATCGCTTCTAGGTACTGACTTCTTAATTTGTTTTCAAGAGCATCAATTTACCAAAGGGATCCTCTGCAACTGTCCAGGCCATATTCCTCCACAACTTATTTCTGCAGAGGGGAAACAAGTTGGTGGCCTTGGCCTGCGTCTTCTACCCTCAGTAACCCCTTTTCCATTATTTTAATTCTCTTGCATTTCCATTTATAGGATCTTGCCTCACCAAATGGCTGGCTGCCTCTGCCAATATAAACATGATATTGAGGTTATCTGCAAGACAGTCAAGCTGCACTGTGACCATGTATTGCTTATAAACATCACATATTGTCGTAAGTCTGTTGCCTGATGAGACTTTTTTCATTTAATTTTTACTTCTCCTTACTAACAATTTTAAACACATAGTGCAATTGCCTTATTTCTATCTACTTATTCAGTGCTAAATGCCATTCATTTCTGAACAGCTCCGTTGCTCATACTCAAGTTCTTAATATCCAACTCAAAACTCAAAGTTTTCCTGTACACGGATCATTCACATTATATTTGGATAAGGTCTCATACTTTTATCTGGGCCAGCCTTTAGCAATTTTTCTGGAAACCTACTGGCTTACAAAACTTTAAAAAGAAATTTTTATTGGTACTAAAAGATGATATATAAAGGGGTTAGAATTACTTAAGTCAAGCCAGGCGCCAGTGGCTCACGCCTGTAATCCTAACTACTCAGGAGGCTGAGATCTGAGGATCACGGTTCAAAGCCAGCCTGAGCAAGGAAAGTCTGTGAGACTCTTATCTCCAATAAACCACTCAAAAACCAGAAGTGGTGCTGTGGCTCAAGTGGTAGAGCACTGGCCTTGAGCTGTAGAGCTGAGGGACAATGCCCAAGCCCAGAGTTTAAGCCCCATGATTGACCAAAAAAAAAAAAAAAGGATTACTTAAGTCAGATAAACAGTACAATTCTTTTTTTTAAAAAAAATAAGTTTTTGAAAATACATTACCTTGCCCATGTAATTGTAACCCGTCTGTACGATATTTTCACAATTAAGAAAACATTTTTAAAAAATACTGTACAGAGGGGTTACATGAGCAAGGTAATGAGTACATTTCCTATCAAGCATTGTTGCCTCCTCCTTTGTTTTTCCCTACCATCCCTTCCCTTCCATCTCCACAGCTACATTCACCACCACCGCTTCCCCCCCCCTTCCCCCACCCCCCGCCTAACAGTACATTTCTTTTTGGTCCTTGTCACCCCTTCCCTTGCTCTGAGTTTTTCCTTCTTATCCCCATATATAATTCATTTTCAACATAGTGTCTAGTGAGTACCATTGCTGCATTTGTTTACCCTTTGTCCCTCCTTTCTGTGCGTCTTTTTGGCTTCTAAAACATGTCTGATTTAACATCAAGAAGCTTGAATACAGGTCTCTACTGGTAACCTAGGGCTTTTTCCCACATATAACATTCCCTTCTTCCCAGAGGTAGGGACAGCAAGAACCTTTCACTTTTAATATTAGGAAAATAACATCAGTGTTATCAAGTGCTGTATCTTCATGCCCAGGTCTTATGTCCCCAATTCTGAGAATGCTCAAGTTCCTCCTTTTTCTTTCAAAGTCCTAACTTCCTCCCATGACCCTTATTGCTCCTAAAATACTCTAGTTCTTCACAAGAAACCTATGTTGATAATGATACTGTAGACATTCATGCACTCAGAAGCTTTGGATCATTCCCAAGTAAAGCTGGAAATGTTTTAAGCGAACATTTCTGTCTTTAAAAAAAAAAAAGAAGAAAAAAACTTCTTCAGCATTTCCATCTTTAAAAGAAAGTAACTTTTTCAGCCCCACTTCTATTTTATGACTGTAACTCAAGCTACTCCAGATATAAGGATAATGTTTCCAAGCAAGTTTAATCAAAAGTTAGCAAACAGCATTCTAACTAACAATCAGGCATCAATGCACCTTTGTGATATCACCTAGATCATGGCTAGAGGCTAGACCAGATAGAAATGTGAGTGCCTAGTTAAATAGGAATGTTTTATCCACAAATTGTCATTATTATCTTGATTTGTTGCAAACAGAAAATTAGCACACCAGCTCCCTGCCCAAGTTTAAGGAAACTATCAGAATGTTCTTCTATTTTCTACTGTGTTTCTGAGTGTCCTGTCATCACAAAGCCCCAATGAAGGAACTGTGTGTAGGTGAAAAAGAACTTTATAATAATGATTGGGGACTTATCATCAGGAGAGGGACCTCTGGGTTAGCATCTCTGTCCTTGCTATCCTGAGGACTGGGCTTTGTCCTCCTGAGCAGCTGTGATGGTAGCAAGAACCTTGAAGCGCCCTGAGGACATGGGAAAAAGAGTCTTGTGCTCCCTCTGCATTAGAGACAGGACAATATGGGGTATGTAAATGAGAGGGGGCAGGGCTCTTCCCCAGAGAAGCTGCTTGAAGGGCTGTTAAATGAGTACTGAGAAACTTGATATCCTAAATAGGATCCTGTATTTCACACAGAAATATCTTACTTAGAATACTCTAATAGCTACTGTGTAAAAAAAAAAAAATCATCTTTTTGTTGCCATTTCATAGGCCTACCTTTGAGCTGATTCTACTCACTGCTCTATATGACACTCAAATCTTTTCTGACCCCTAAGGTATTTGGCTGGGTTGGTTATGAGGTGTAGACTGACAAGAACCTACCCATTAGTCTTCCCTTATCAAAGCAGTTTCTTCTTTTCTGACAGTTGAAGAAGAATCAATAGGGAACCCAGAAGGAAGATTCATGAAGGTGTTAACTGATCGGAAGAGAAACAATAGCACTGAGCTGATTATTGAACCAGAAAAAGAACATATGGACAAAAATGATGCCAGCTACTCAGGCGTAATGAATGAGCAGCTAGAGTTGAGCAAAGAAAATGAAATTAGTAGTGCACTCAACAATATATTGCCCTATTTATCAGAGGGAAATCTACATGATGTAAGGACAACATTGTTACCATTCATTAAACTGTTATTCTCAAATGAGAAAAGTGGGGATGATTACATGGATAATACAAAAACCAATAGAAGACCCCACTTTAAGCCAGAATCCAACAAAAATAAACTGAATAAGCTTAATTTTCTGGAAAATCTGTTAAATGCAGAAATTCAGAAAAAAATTAATGAGGTTAAAAAGAAAGAAGAAGTAAATGTGGATATACAGCCTATCACTATTTTAGGCCCTAAATTTAAACGCCAAATCTTTCCCAGAAAAATGCACAGTGTCCAACCACAGGAAAACATCCAGGCAGAGATGAAGAGTACAGAGGAAAGACCACAGAGGCTCAACAGAGTCCTCAAGGGGCCAAGAAGCATACAGAAAAGGCACTTCAAGAAAGTGGCCAAACAGAACATCTGGAGGAAACAGAGTGGCCAGCCTCTTCTAGAGAATATTGCTAAAGAACGGTTTAGGAGACTACCCATAAGGGAGCTTCACGTGGCTCAGAAGCCCAGGAAATTGGTGAGAAACTCCTTGCCCACAGAGCTCTCGTTCACAAAGGAACTTAAGGCAGCAGCCTCTTCACTCCTGAATCCAGACTCAGCCGGCAGGGCCTCCATGTCCACCACTGAAAAAGCCCTAAATGAGGTAAAAAATAGAGCAAAAACCTTAACCTACACCAGGTTTGTTTTAGATGGTACAAATTCTAGAGTTAAAAGCAAAAAGGCTTCTAATACAATCATATCCCCCCAAAGTTATGCCGTTCATAGTACTGGCTCTTTTGTAACCCACAGAATACCTAAAGCTAAACTGAACAGAAAGTTCAGAAAGAAAACTAGACTCTTTAGACCAGTGCATGCAAACAGGCCTCCATTTTCTGGAGTAAGGAGCCTCATAAATTCCCCTTCTGGAGAGGACTTTGCATCATGGGGAGAGCTGAACTCTCAGGAGAATACTTTTCCAGAATTCTATGCCATTTCAAATCCTTCTATAGACATCACTCCTCCAAAACAAGAGATTACAACAAATGTTTTAGAAGGAAATACTTTTGTTAAAAACATTCCTGTACCAGCAGGAAGTCACCCTCAAAACACAATTAGTGAAATTGCTGCTCCAGGTTCTAGAGTGACTGCATTCAACTTAATGCCGCCTGTCCAACAAACCAACGAGACACTATGGCAGGGCATCAACATGGGCATTGACTCATCATCAGTCAAGGCCACAGACTACCAATACCAGTTTCCATCCTTTGGTGATCATTTTGAAATGCAGTTAAACCAGCAGCTGAAGCCTCTTGTTCCCAACAATGATGTAAGAAAGCTGCTATCTCAGCTCATCCGGACCTTGAAAATGGACTGCTCTGAGACTGACATGCAGAATGCCTGTTCCAAGCTCGTCTCCAGATCTGGCCTCCTGATGAAACTTCTCAGCAAATCACAAGAAGTCAAGTTGTCCAAGGCGGAGTGGGATACAGACCAGTGGAAAACAGATAACTACATTAATGAGAGTACTGAAGTTCCAGGTGAACGAAAGGAGTCAAGTGAGGTGAGGACAACTCTAGAACTCCAGGCCTAGACTTCCTCATCCTTTAGATACACCTTGAAGAGAGGAAGGCCAGGGCTTTAGTCCATCATGACTAGGACAGTCCCCTCTCTCCTCCTTTATAGACTGAAGTGCTCCTAAAACACAGATGAGACATAGAAAAGTACAAATTAATAAGGCATTTTAACACATTAGATTGGCTGCATGCTTTAAGAATCTTCAAGATCCTCAACTTGAAGAATAATAGGATTTTGAGCTGGGCACTGGTGGCTCATGCCTGTAATCTTAGCTACTCAGGGGGCTGAGATATGAGGATCGAGGTTCAAAGCCAGCCAGAGCAGCAAAGTCCGTGAGACTCTTATCACTAGAAAACCGGAAGTGGCGCTGTGGCTCAAGCGGTAGAGTGCTCGCCTTGAGCTGAAGAGCTCAGGGTTAGTGCCCAAGCCCAGAGTTCAATCCCCACAACCGACCAAAAAAAAAAAAGTGGGATTTTGAATAGTTTTGCTCTTTCCAATCTCTTCATTACTTAACAAAATTGTCTTTTAAAAAAAAAACTTTTTTAGCTCATACAAGAAGTTCCTGGATATGGCTTTAACAACAAGATCATCTTGGCAGTAGCTGTGATTTTAGTAGTGATGTTGTTGATTATAATTTTCTGTCTCATTGAGGTAAGATCCACAATTCATTCAGACCTCCATAATATATCCTGTCTTTGTAATAGATTCAGAATGCACAACCTGAAAAGCAAAGCATTTTCCTACTCTTCAGCAGGTAATTCCTTGATGGTGTAGATAGTTTTCTGTCTATGGAACAGTATTTCTCATTTTTATTTCTGTAATATCAATTAATTGAGACCACTCTTAAAGAAGAGGTGAGTTTTTTTTAAACTGTATTTCTTTTTGTCTTTTCTTTTTTGGTACTGGGGATTGAACCCAGGACATTGCACTTGCTAGGCAAGCGCTTTGCCACTGAGCTACATCCCAGCCCGAGTTTTATTGTTGAGTACTGTCCAAATTTGTGTCAAGGACTCAGTGATAAGCATAGGGTCAGTTTGCAAAGGCTTCTGGATACATACATACAAGTATACAAGTAGCACATCCACATCTCTCAGTGACTCATGGCCTACATATTTCTATACAGTTCAACCTTGTATTTTCACACACAAATATGCCTATATGTTCATATATATGTATATGTATGTATACATTCATATTTCTTATGCCTCATTAGATGACAATTTCTGAGAGGGCAGGAAGTTTGAAGTGTTTTATATGTAGTGTCTAGAAACGGTAGTCAAAGGAAGAGAGATGAGGTATTATTTTAACTTCACAATAAGCAATAATACAATTCAATATTTATACTAGAGTACAGTCTAGCAATGGACAAACCAGATGTTCCTAAGTTGTGTGTGTGTGTGTGTGTGTGTGTGTGTGTGTGTGTGTGTGTGTGTTGTGGATATTAAATCAGAAAACGTACATACTAGCTATGGGCTCTACCACTGGGTTACACCCACAGCCTAAAAAGTGAGTGGGTAAAAGAAACTTATAGCAATATAATAGTTGCTTAAGTATTTGGAGGCACAAGTAACAAAACAGCCCCACCACTCCCCTTGCACATATTTCAGTAAGTGAAAACAACAATCACAAAAAGAATTAAATGTACTTTTCTTTAATATTAAATAAAGCTATTTGGAAAAAAATAGAATGGCTATATTCATAATCCAGAATTTTTTAAATTTTTAAATACATTTTTTATTATAAAAGTGTACAGAGGGGTTACAGTTACATGAGTAAGGTAACGAGTACATTTCCTATCAAGCACTGTTACCTCCGCCTTTGTTTTTCCCCTACCATGCCTTCCCTCCCCTCTAGAAAAAAGTTAAAAAGAGCTTTCTATACCTGATCTCTTAGGCAGAAACCTTTGGTACATGTGGCCACCTTGACCTGAGGTCAGTGTCAAAAACCTAGCATTATGTATGCTACTTATAGTACAAAGAGGTTTCCACAGTTTGTCTGGTCTAACCCTCACAAAAGTCCTGATAGGAAGATCTCACCCATCATCTTCAACAGGACATAAACTTAAGACCCTGGTGACAAAACCAAGGACAGAAACTCTGATTCCCATGACAATTTTTATTTTACACTTACTCTTTGCTGAGCTAAAACACTATCTTTATCTTCCATGATCCATCTGTCTTTCCTGCTCCAGTACCAATGTCATATTATTTAATCTCAGTTGCTTTAAACATTTTTTTCAAGTTACAGGTAGTAAGGAAAGCTTTTGCTCTCAGATCTTATTTTCCATATATTTCATATCCTTGTATGTTTTTCCTTCCAAAGTTAAAAAAATATTATGATTACATGGAATATTCCAGGAAGAACATTCTAGGAAAGAAGAATCTCAACCTGCATGTTTTATTTCTTCTTATTCTTTTTTTTTTTTCTTTTGTCGGTTGTGGGGCCTGAATTCTGGGCCTGGGCATTGTCCCTCAACTCTTCAGCTCAAGACTAGTGCTCTACCACTTGAGCTACAACACCACTTCCGGCTTTTTCTGCTTATGTGGTGCTGAGGAATCAAACCCAGGGCCTCATGCATGCAAGGCAAGCACTCTACCACTGAGCCACCTTCCAGCCCTATTCTTCTTATTCTCCGTAGAGAATAAGATGAGTTTGAGGGTTTTTGTTTTTTAAGGAGATCATTGCATAATTCAGGCCTCACACTTGATATACACAAACCTATTATCTAAGCAATGCCCCCAATACTTGTTGTTGTAGTTTGGTTTTCATATACAGTCTTGAGCATTTGCATGAGCATTCCTGGGATTAAGATCCTCATATCTCATATTTTTGAGTTGCTAGCATTCCAGGTGTGACTAGCATGCCATCCCCCTATGTTACAGGTTTTTTTTAAATACAATTTTAGTTATAATTTTAGTTTATACAAGTTTAGTTTCTTTTTTTATTGTGAAAATACTGTACATGGGTACAAGTTTAGTTTCTAATAAATTGTAAATAGGGTCTTTCTTCCATTTGTTAGTATATGGGAAAGCTATGAAACTTTGTGTGTTGACCACCCTTATTTTGTTATCTACCCTCTTTATTAAAATTTGCACACTGCATTTCTAAAAAAATTTCAGGTGATTTTTCTTAGGTGTTTTAGGTTATGCATTATTTCATATAAAATAATAATAGTTTCCTCCCTTACTTACCAGCCCCTTAACTCCATTTACTATTTTATTGTATTTACTGGGATTTCTTCAACAAGGGTATCTAGTAGCAGTAGCAGTGTTTCATTTTAAAGCAGGACTGTTGTTTTGGCTTCTAGTAAATAATTTGACCAAAATAAGGGCATTTTATGAGGAATTATGTACTGGATTTTATCTAACACAATGAATGCATATGTTAAGTGACAATTTCAGACAAGACCTTCAGCTTCGTACTGTGGAAGAGAAAAAGATCTATTAGTAATGTGGGATTCCTGAGCTAAGATAAGTTATCATCTCCTGGGCAGATAATATATAAAGAAAAGAATGAACAGAAAGTTGGAAATAGTGGTCATTGTGGTGGGAAATCATGATTATGCTTTCTTTCAAAACAGATTTGTTGCCACAGAAGAGCAACAGGGGAAGGCCAAAGATCTTCAAGGTAAATATGAGTCTTTAAATCTCTCAATGAGGCTCTGAGCACTAGAGGAACCCCTAGAACTCATCTATTTCTATCCCCTAGCCTTACAATGGAGGGGGGAGGGCACTACCCAAGGTGGCGAGCACTCTTCCTTCCCAGGGGTCTTACCTGGCTCCAGCAAAAGTAGTTCCTCAGCAGAGGCAGAGGTGGTCAGTACTGGCGTGGATAGTTCTCTGTCACAGCCCTTCAGTGAATGAGGGTGGGAGACAGAGGTTTCAGCTGTGTCTGCTCCTGCTAATGGTGGGCCTCAGGGAGCAGTGTAAGAAATCTGTGGGATGTTGGGGTGTAGGTCTGGTGGAAGGGGGAATGTATTGGTCCTTCCTGTCAGTGATGAGAAAACAACTCCTCATCCTCCTGCGTACCTTCTCATCCCCACTCTCCCTTTTGCCTAGTACTTCACATATTCTAGGTAAGAGAGACCTCAGATGCTAGTTTATCATTTGCTTTAGTAATAAAGAAATGGAGAAGGAAAAAGGGGGAATGATATTGCAGCAAGGTCACATTGCTTGTGAATTTTAGGAGATGATGGTTCTTTCCATTTACATGGTGTTTGGCCTGTGGACACATTCCATCAGTACACACATACCAAGAAGACATCCACAGTCTCTAGAACAAACTGATGTTTTTTTATTGGTCATGAGACTTGAACTCTGAGCCTGGGTGTTGCCCCTCAGCTCTTCAGCTCAAAGCTAGTGTTCAACTGTAATACCCACGACTTGGAGTCCCCCCAAAAGACCACCAAAGACTGCGATCAATGTAAGCAGCAAAGAGTCATTTATTGGCAAGCCCGGGCTTGGTCCTCCACACACTCGGTAACCGGTGACGCTAAGAGGTCCCGAGCCTAGGGTTACAACACTTTTTATATACTTTTTGGGATAGGACAGGGACTTAACATACATCATAACATCTTGTAGCAAATCATCACACACAGTGGGAAAATCATAATGTAACTCTAGCACATAATTGGCACACTACAGGGCGGGCGGGAGAGCTGATGTCCTGTCATTGTGTGACAGACCGGCACCATCTGTGCTGATGTGAGTCAGGGTTTGAGCAACACGGAGTTACTTATTTAGCAAAAAGCGAATTACAGAAACAAAACGAGCAGTTAGTAATTGTAACATTAATTTGATCAATTTTTGTCCAGTCTTTCACAACCACAGTACCTCTTCTGGTTTTCTGGTGATTAATTGGAGATAAAGAGTCTCATAGACTTTTCTGCCTGGTCTGGCTTTGAACTGAGATCCTCAGATCTGAATAGCTCCTGAATAGCTAGGATTACAGGCTTGAGCCACTGGCGTCCAGCTTCTGTTCTGTTTTCATTCAGACCTAATAGCTTGTCTTTAAACGTTAATAATGTTCTATAAATTGATTTCATACTTCAATCATCATGATAGCCTTTCAGAGATGACAATCTCTAAACTACACCATTGGACTAAGGAAATTGCTTGCTGTGATTCAACTTGTAGGATAAAGCAGCTAAGAGAACAGAGGCACCTCTCCCTCTCCTATCCTTTCTTCCTTCACCCAAGCAAATGTCACATGGGAGACTAAATCCAAAGAGGACTGAGTGAAAGGCTCTGGAAAACAGTAACTGGTTCTGCCCAGTGTGGTTGTGCAGTTGTTTATGTACAGGAATTTTTGGGAAAGAGGGTAAAAGGGGCTGATAATCCTAGATATGCTGAAGACCAAGTCACATACAAAGGTTTCCCGAAAGGCATTGTAGGGACCTCTGGGACAGGCATGGAGATTTCCTGCAAGTCTTGTCTGTGTGCCTGGAATTGATTGCAAATCCACGGGTTGAGGGAGCCTTTGCTCATTGTGATTATGAACTAGGTGTCTGTTTCCATCAGACCTGAGATGTACATAGTGACACACATAAAATAACATGAATTTTCACTAATTGTCTACTTCTTTTCCCCCAAGGGGCTTTCTTTGGTGTATGCGAAGGCAGGGCCCTTCAGAATCTGAGAGTCAGGCAAGTTAAATTGAAGAGGGCTTGATGCTGTGGCCAGAAAATGCAGGCAAAAGCAGAATTAATTATGTTCCCCTTGTCTTTCCTAGGAGGGCTTCTTTTTAGGGCGGCCACTTTGGCTGAGGGATATGTACAGGCCTCTCAGTGCTACAAGCAAGAAAAACATGGCCAAGAAGCTACAAGACAAGGAGTCTTCTGAAGAAGATGAAATTTTCCAAAAGAAACAAGGGTGAATGGCTGGGAGCAATTTAACATTCCTAGCTTGGGGGAGGGATGCGCGTGTGTAGGGGTGAGGTGCAAGGGAAAGTCTGGTTGCTGCCTTCAAGACTAAAAGGTGTGGCGTTGTTCTTTTCCCAGGAAGCCCAGTGAAACGGCCATAGAGATGCCATCAGCACAACCCCCTCCAAATAGCGAGAGCGAAAGTGCTGTGTGCTGTGGTATCTTTCCTTCAACAAAAAATTGAAATGTTTATCCTCTGACACTGGCCTCAAGCCTTCCTTTTTAAAGAGAAAGAATGCACAGACTAAATGGAAACAGGAGGTTACAAGTTGCTCCCCTCAAAAGGCAACTCTTGGGTCATTGAATTCCAATTTGTAACTGCAGCTCCTTATTGGGCCAGTCACAAGTGCTCTGAAAGCATGTATGGCCCCAGCTGTTTGCAGAGCGAATTAATCCTGTCTTTGTCTCCCACAAATAAAATTAATTTTATTGTTCTAGCTATCTGTGTTTACTATGTAGGCATGCTATTTAAACTTATGGCTACCTTATTCTCGCCAATTAACAGATGAGGGACTTAAAAAAGGCAATATTTTACTTAGGCTTTTATGTTGCTTGTAGTTGGTAGTACCTGCCCATAATCTTACCACTTGGGGCAGAGTGAAAAGAAAAGTATGAATTCTAGATTAGCCTAGGCTATATATTAAGGCCTTTCCAAAAAACCCCCCCAACAACCCTATATCAAAATCCACATAATTTATATAGGCTCACCTATGGGAGACACTAAAGGCCTTAAGGTGCCTTTGTGATTGATTATGCATCCTCTTCCTATCAGCTTTCCTGTTATTTGACCAGTGTCACACAATGGGAGGACGGTAGCTCAACAATAGCGATCACTAAGTTACAACTCTATACTAATGGTCAGGAAGTCCAGAGAAAAGCTGCCCTCAAAAGGCCTGTCTCTCACCTGATTAGGTGATAGATCAGGAAACAGGATGTTCTTATTGACTGGCCATGTGCATAGCCTGTGGTAGGGCTTTAAACCAGTAACTCAATCCCAACAGAATCACAGGAAGTGGTGGTTCATCCAAAATTAAAGAGGAAATTGTTACCAAAAAAATCTGGTAAGATGAGGAACAGAGGACCAAAGATTGAAATTAAACTAAACTTTAAGCCCCAAATTAATAGTTATTCACATGTTCATACATGCCATAAACCTAGAAACCAAATTCTCTTCATCCCATAGCAATTTGCCAGTGCCTTTATTTTATTCAAGTCACATTGAAGTACCCCGTTTTCGGATGCCTCCTTACAGACCACCAGAGACCACGATCAATGCAAACAGCAAAGAGTCGTTTATTGCAAGCTCAAGCTTGGTCCTCCACGCACTGGGTGCTAAGAGGCCCCGAGCATAGAATCAGCACAGTTTGTTATAATATTGAACAAACAACTTTAAGGAACTTTTACTATAAGAAATTACATGATTGGTTAACATTTAAAGCAAGCTAAGCTGGGCAAATATGATTGGCCTTACAGAAAAATATCCTTGGTCCATAGCTTGACCACAAACGGTAATGAGTCACACCTGGACCAACAGTATGCATGGCATATTTCGCCCTGGGCTCTGAAGAACCGGTTGGTCAAGACATTATATGGTCAGAACATTATATGGTTTTTACTGAAACTCTTAGCCCTAGGTCACTCAGGGGCAAAATCACTTGGGGGCAAACATCTGCCTTAAGCAAAGGCCGTCTATGGCTCCAAGAATTGCTTGTGCATGGCTTTCTGTCATAAATTCCTAGCATAGGAGCTAAAGTGGGCCACAAGTTCAGTCTCAGAACTGAGATGGGGGTCTTAAGTAAAATGGAATTGCTTAGATTTCTCAACATCATAAGGAGACATTTCCATCTGCCGTCTCACTGGCAGGCTCAAAATTCATTTAGGAAATCCTTTGTGAAAATGAGGAATGTATGGAAATGCCACTATGCTCAAAGTAGTAAAACACTAGCTTTGAGTGAAAGAATCCTGAGTTCCAACTGCACTTCTGAGCAAAAATTTAAAAATGTGAAATATATATGTATGTTTGTGCATATTTCTCCATTCCCATTGCCCCACCCCACCCAACCCAGGACCCAAGCCTTTAGGCAGCTTCAAAAAGGCGTGCAGAACTATTGGAAGAGTTAATATACCTGCACACCTTTGGAGAGGCAGAAGCCTGAAAGGTAAAAGACCAGATGAGGCAGCCTGCAAAGCAGACAAGGAATTATTCTGAGCAATTACGCATTACTCCCAACTGTAAGGAAACGCACCTCCCTCGCAGACCTAATCGCTGTCTTCGATGGCAGCGCCTGCTGAGTTAGGTGAGGCAGCCCCCACCTCCAGCGCTCCAACTGTACAGAGTCCCTCAGAGGAGCCAGTCGGTGCCATTTTTCTCCTCTCCTCGGGAGAGCTTGAACTTGGTAGCTCTTCTGACAATAACTTTTCTCTCCTCTACCTGACTTTGTTCCACGTGGTCTTTTGGGCATCGATTTTTCCTTTCAACAACTTGTGTGAAAAAAATAAGAGACATTAAGTGCTAGATTCGGAGGCAGGGCAAGCTTGTGCACAACTACTATCAATGCTCTGGCGGTACCAATTATGACCAGAAATACTATTTTTTGTCAAGTTGTCTGGGGGGTTAGGGAGTGGGGTGGGGCAAGAAGGCAAGAAAACAAAAACATGGTGTCTTTGCCACCTTGTTTAAACTGAGTTTCACACCAAAATAAAGTTTGTATGTTCCTGTCTTTTACCAGCTCAACCAGTCAAGAGACACTGTACAGAGACACTGAGATACACCTAGTCTAAAACTAGAAGTTCTGTAGAGTTACTGAACTGACAGCCTACAAACAGGGTTGGGAAAAAACAACCCTAAAGTTTCATAAATGGAAGCAACACTGGGCCCTAAAGTTAGCACGCCCCCCCCCCCCATGCATCGCTCCCTTGAAGAAACTCAGGGACACAAGACACTGGTGGCATCAGGCTAGTTGGAATTTCCTTAAAGAATTGGCCTGTTTTCAGTCACCCCAGGGGTCTGACCTCTTCCCAAGCCAGTGCAGCCTCGCCCACTCAGGTCTGAGGGGGAATTTCACCTCAGGACGAGGCCTGCACCTCTTGCTGGGTCCATCAGAAAGGGCAATGTCACTTCTTCCATGGAAAGGAAATGTCGTCAGAAGAGGATCAGAGGTCCCTGGGCTCTGTTCCCCGAGTGTAGGACTCCTTCACGACCATCCCAGGGACCCCATCGAGGTTATTATAAGGCTTTTCAGACAGGTCCTATTTCCCCGGAAGAGGCAGCACATGGCTGGCCCTATCCAAGTGGCGGGTAGGTCTGGCGAAGGAAGTGAGGGCGGAAGTGAGGTAAGTGCAGGCAAGGCAGGTCTGGGTGGAGAGAGGGCGTGGCCAGCTGCGTGGCTGGGCCTCTAGGGCAATGAGGAGCTCCGATTTGGGTGGAGCTGAAGACCAACGGTGGGGGTAGGGATAAAACGAACTCCGAGGGGCTGAGGAGGGGCGGGCCGGCCAGGGGCACACGGGAGGGCGTGTGAGGCCCAGGGGAGCCTCGGGGCCATCTTCTGGGACAAGGTGAGGATGAAGCAGGTGTTTTTCAGACCCCGGAGAGCCCAGCCGGGGGAGGCTGGGACTTGGGCCTCGGCTCCCTCGGTTCTGCCCACAGGGCGGCGCCGTGGCCCTCGGGGAGCCGGTCGCAGGAGGGTTGGTCCTTGGCTCCCATGTCGCGTAGTTGGTGCTGAGATCCAGCGAGATAAAAAAGTCCTGCAGACGTCGGGATCTCGGCTGGCGCGGACCAGCGGGTTTGGGGCATTGGGAACGCGTCGTCCCCGGCTCCGTGGGCCTGGGCCTGGTGGGGGCGCCGGGACGCAGAGATATCAGCCCGGGTCCCCGCCCCGGTGAGGAAGGCGGTTGGCTCCGCCCCCGGTGAGGAAGGCGGTTGGCTCCGCCCCGGGGTGAGGAAGGCGGTTGGCCCCGCCCCCGGTGAGGAAGGAGGTTGGCTCCGCCCCGGGGTGAGGAAGGCGGTTGGCTCCGCCCCGGGGTGAGGAAGGCGGTTGGCCCCGCCCCGCGTCCGCTTCGGACCTGCTCAGTGGCTCCGCCTTCCGGAGGCGGCACTTCAGTGCGGAGCCAATGTGATGGCGTCAGGCGCAGTGGCGCGGCTTCCTGTTGTCGGTGGCCGGGAAGCCGCGGGGTTCGCGGTCTTGCGGTGGGGCTGCGGCGGCAGGCAGCGTCGGGCTCCCGCACCCTGCGCTCTTCGGTGAGTTGTAAGCGGCCTACGGGGGTGGCAGGGCCGCCAGGTGAATGGGCGGCGGGCATCTCCCTGCTTTCCCTGGGCTCCCTCGCTGCCTGGAGACAGCCTGGCTTCCCGAGCCCCCAGCCCTTCTTCCGAGGCTGCGCCCCACACCCGCCCTCGCCCTCCGTGCGCCCACCGGCTGCTAAGACGACCTCGGCGCGCAGCACCTTTAGGTGCACCCCCGCCACTTGAGTCACAGCTCTACCTCTGGCCTTTTGGTAGTAAATTAAAGAGTCCCACGGATTTCCACGTGGGCCAGGCTTTGAGCGGCGACCCGAGAGCGACAAAAACCTTGTTGGTGTGGTTGCTGAGCCCTGGCCCCGCGGCCGAGGCCTTGCAAGTGAGCCGGCCCGGGTGGAGGGAGGAGTGAGAACCGCCCCGCGGCTGCCTGGGGGTCGCAGTCCTCCCTCAGCACCCGGTGCCTCTGCGCCTCCACCAGAGGCCCTGGGTGCGGGGGGACCCCGGCAGGCCACGACCCCGAGGCCTCTGCGGACACCCCAAGTCGTGGCCCGTGCTGCTTCTCGGCCAAAGGTTGCCCTGTAGTAAGAGGTCAAGTCGCTCCCGAGGAGAGAAGTGTTTGGCGTGGATCCCGCGGTGACTTGGGGGGGGAAGGGGGTTTGAGGTGGGGGTGAGAGGTCACGTGCTAACTGGGTGTGGGGACCCCCTCCTCCCAGCATTCTC